CGCCTGACGCAAACGTTTTGCACATTACTCTACATCTTTGGGTATATTATTGAGAGAGTTGGCTCAATATAATGTCTATCCATGTCGTTACCTTGTTAAGTGACAAACTAGCCTCGGGGTGCGGCTTCCCGTTATTTAGAAGGCTGTTTACCTCATAGGTGATCTTCGATGATTCCTTTTCTTTTACGCTTATTTCATCGTTCCCATATTTGTCGTCGTACAGCATAGCCAGATTCTTAGTTCTAGACTTCATGTGTGGATTGTGGCTGCCATGTTATGTTTTTTTGAGTCTTCACTGTATGTTCGCCTCAAATGTTTGCTAGTACACCACTTGCAATTTTTAGACATGAGTGTTATGTCAATCTACGTTTGAATAGCATGACAATGCAACGAAAGAATTGTCGGTAGGAGTAGGTGATTACGAGGATCTGAGTCAATCGGCTTTTCGACAGCTTCATCGGCACATCTCGTAATGACAAGGCATTTACACTATTTTCTACCCTTTCTTGTGCATCTAATGTGCTATCCACACGACTAACGCCTAAGAGGAAAATAGATTTTCATCACTCTGTGCTACTACTTGGTGAGTCCTGCTCAAGTAACGTTTTTCATCACTTCCAGTTCCTTTCACTCACAATCCTTTCTTCCTTCACCAATGACTGTTTCAAAAATTTATCCGCGTGATCCCTCCACCTGCCGCGCATAAGAATAACGTGAGACTCAACGGTTAAATTTGTGCAGTGTGGAAGTGATATTCTTGAGAGAACCTAGCTGAATTATTTTTTTCTGGTGAGGTTGACTGCGGATCAATAAATGCACCGTAGCTGTACACTTTCCACAGCACAAGGTTCGCAGACTTTTGAGGAAGGGATCTTCTTCAGGCTCAACTTTATCCAATGATGTTCATGTAGAAGTGGTCAGGCTTCATAACTAATAAAGCTTATAGCAACGTGTAGGTTCTGCTCGCAAAGCAATTCCACGTCTATGATGAAAGATTAGATGTAGATCTTTCCATATTCTTTGTAGGAACCCTTCTCAGCCTTTAAGCTTTATCTACTTTTGATCTGCGCCAAAAAGCAATCTTTGCGATGGGGTCACAAAAGAAATTTATGGAGCAGGCAATTTACAATTGCTTTGGCTACACTTTTATGATAAAGTGACTGTGGAGAAGCTTTCTACTGATCCCAAATTCACTCCTTATCAAAAAGCAAGCTGCATCATTGGAAATGCTTTCAGTTGGACGATTTCAGATCGAAAAGTAGCCATAATAATTATAATTTACAATAAGACGTCGAATTTCCTAAACATCGTGACTCGACTTTAACATATAGGGAGCAGTCAGCAGTGGCTTCTTCTCTAATGGTGATTCTATTGGTTTAAATAGAAAAAATTCGAAATCTCTAGTTTATCAAAGTTGAGGAGAAAGTCACAGATGTTCTGTAAGGTTGCAAAAATGACTCTTAAAAATGTGTTCTGCTTGATCGCTGTAGTGCGTGAATATAAGAGCTCGACAAGTTCAGTGGCTGAGATACCGTGCTTAGTGTTACGCGACCTCTTAGTAGTCGGACAATCTCTTCCATTCCTCCATGTGGGCAAAAAATGCAAAATTATCAAGCTTAACTGGAGAAGGCTGTTTCCGACGCCGAAATAACAGCGGCTTCTTGGTGAGGACATAGAATACAAGAGCTGGGTCAGCACTGGGAAATAGCCAGGTCAACGAATAACGAATTCTTGTGTCAAGCTTTTGATAAGGATAGCTGGTGCCTCACTGAAGCTCGAAGAGCTTCATGAATGATGAACACAAGACAGCAGACCGAATGATAGATGCGCTGGGATGTGGAAACTAAGTTAAGAGAGGTCACACGGGTAAACACAGAAGTAGGAATTAGACCGTGCATAATGATTCAGGTTTTTTCATATATTTCCTTGTTGTGATTCATCGCAGTGAAAAATGCTTATGATGGAAAAAATACAGTGGTAATAATTACACATGGCTTGTATTTCGGGTGGTTTGCAATGGATGCTGTGGCCTAGTGGTTAGTGCTGCAGGCTTCAGGGTGATGATGCTGATTTGATTCCCTCTTTCGACAGACTCTATCAAATCAGTCAATTCAACGACAAAAATTGCCTCAGTTCAGTCTCCTCCAAGATTTCAAGGTTTGCACAGCAGCAGAAACAACACGTAAAACGTTAGAAGGTCTGTGTGAAAAATGAGTGCGGGGAAACGAATCGAGTTCCAAAACTGCACAGGTCCCTCAAAAAAATTGTGGTTACTAGGTCGAGTGAAAATAAATATCAGAATGAAAAATAAAACAGATCAAAATACTTAGTCAAGTGATGATGCCTGTTAAAATAGGTGCTTCCAATGAGTTACTGTATCGACCAAGAAGTACCAGTTTCAGCAACCAAATTATCAATTGTTTTCGATCATCTCGCGTTTGATGCAGCGTTCAAGTTCAAAAATCTACTTCGGACCAGTGTTCACGACAAGGCGTGATCTTCCCCCGGATGTCAACATAGAAAGTGTTGGTTCCTTCCGGGCAGACTATGCTGCCAAGGTTATTGTAATACTTTACGAGGTTTAACACCGTTTTTCACGCAAGTTCAAATGACAGGCATTAGTATCTCGAGGATGTGCTGTCTCCGATCAATTGCTGCTGGACGAATGTAGAAAAGGAGACGACGGTGAGCTGATGGACAGCCACCTCTTTTTTAAACGCGTTCGTTGGTGTATGAAAGTACGGTTTTTATAGATTTTTTAGTGAGCTTCAATTGTTTTTACCCTTTGCTAGGAGTGCAATCGTGCATGCGAGGAAGCGTTAGAGAATTTATTGTGTGCTATAGATGAACGAAGAACAGTGGAATTACTACGAGCCTTTCATCAAATGTATACGGTTTGTAATAATACACTTTTTGATACATATATATGTCTCCCTATCTTCACGGTTATTTCAGATTCGTGTTAACGCAATAAAACGCTGCCATCGTGGAGATGTTCGAAATTTGAAGAGGACATTACCGCGTAATTGTGTCCTTGTACGAAAGGTATGTATTTACCAAGGCTAACCACTTGAAAAGGTGACAATTTTGATAACATATGTGTTTTTGGAGATGTGATGAATTGATGTGAGTTGCTGAGTTCCATTATAGTGGTCGTGATAATTTTGAGATTTAAAGGATAAAGCTCTCGGCTTTGATCAATCCCTGAGAGATGCGCCATGCATTCATCTTCAATTTTTAACTGCGTTTGAGGTGATTGAATGCATGTCTGGTCTTCACAGTGACTCGTGGTGGCCTACCGCTGAACCGGGTCAGTGCTGCTTATTTTCCCAGACAACTCTAAAACCAGTCTGGTGCCACTTTACAAACCACGGAGGGATGGATGGCTTGGTGAGCCCTGAGCGCGAGATCGAACTATTGACCTCGTGTACGGCTCAGAGCACCTCTAACCACTGCGCCACATGAGCTTTGATAATTCGAGATATTGGGAGGAAATATACAAAACAAACAAAAATGCTCTATGAGACGTAACAAATGTGATCAGGTTATAGGTGATGGTGACACCGCTCAAAACATTATTTATGGCTCCAGAAGTGATGATGACAAATCGTGTAGTGCGTCGTTTTGGCGAAGAAAACGCTCTGCGCTGTGTATTTCGTGATGATTCGGGTGCTAGGCTCATTGTCAAGGATTTTGTGCAAGGCCCATGCTGTGATCGTAATCTCTTATGCTCACTACATACGTGTAGTCGGAGAGTTTGCACATCGAGTTTTTCATACAGAGCAATCTTCCATTGTGGCCAACATAGTTCAAAGAACTCTTTCACATGGCGTGGAAATTAACAATCGTCATTACCATTTTTTGGCATGGAGCAATTCACAGGTGAGCCTTTTTAGCTTTTAACCGTATGTGGTTATGAGTTAGACGCTCACCAAGGTTTCATCCTCCACTGTATTCTGCTTGAATAACTTGTATTTGAAGTTTTCTAAGATCTATAGAAATACACTTTTATATCAAGTGTAGCTTGTCGTAGTTTAGATGCGTGACCATGGCTGTTATATGTACGCACCGACAATGAATAGTCGAACAGGTGATGTATCCATGACTGTTGAGGACATGAGAAAGTGGATGGGAGACTTCAGTAGTAGCAAAAATGTGCCAAAATTGATGAGCAGAATGGGTCAATGTTTTACTCAAGCTCAGGTAGACATATTGAAGCTTTTCTGTCTTCGCCAATGTTTGTGATTGGAGCGCTATGTTTATAGCCTACGGTGAAGATTCTACCGAGTGAGTGTTCTGTGGAGGACGACGTCGAAGGAGGATCTGGTCATCCTGAAACTCATGATCCGTATTGCTTTTCGGATGGATGTGGTCGACTTGCTCCTTCTCTTGCTCGACGAATTGCATTAGCTCTCCAGTTGGAAATTGTTCCCAGCTGTTACCAAGTCCGCGACTTTGAATGAACTTTTGTTTTTATGGCTTCATTGCTCTAGGAGCTCAAAAAGAATGATTCTGCTTCAAGGTTCGTTTCAAAGGCTTCAAAGGCGTGCTGGCGATCGATCCATGTCTTGATCTAGTAAAAAATGGCCCAAAAATCATTTTTAGGTAAACATTTTACGGAATCGTAATCTCCTTCAGGATCTAAGACCATCTTGTTTTAGTCTAATACCAAACTACGAATTGTGCATTTTAGGAAAAGTCAAATGAAATTTAAAGAAAGTTGTGAAGAACAAGAAAAGAATATACTCGAGGTATGTCAGTACGTAAGTTGAATGCCTTAGATTTTATAAGTATGTGGGATTTTCTTCTATCAATAGATCTAGTACATATGGAATGTTGTTAAATATTAGAAATAATTATATTAATTCCTCTTATCATTAAGGTTGTCAAATACTCTATGCCTGCCGCTGTGTGCCTCAACCGCCCACTCATCACAATTCTGGATCAGGCAAGTTCTATATAAACTAAAACTAAGAGAATCGAGTGATGAGCAAAAATACGACCTCGGGAGGGAGTCGAACCCGCGTTTTGTGCACACCGGGCATACGTGTTACCACTACACCACCGTGGTACATTCGCGCACCACTCATTTTGGCTGACAGCTATTATGGAGATATTGAAGAATGAGTGGTGGTGCGACTGTACTTCGGTGATGTTGTGGTAGCACGCGCTCTGGTATGGATGAAATACGGGTTCGACTCCCGGCTGAGGTCGTATTTTTGCTCACCATTCGATTCCCTCAGGTTTATGTGAAATATCATAACACTGAGAAAGATACAGTAGAAACACAGTAATTTCAGATAAGTTCATTGGCATTTGTAATTGGCATTCACTCATTTTGTTACAGGTGACACAAAAGCAGTCTAAAGAGCTTCATAAGAAGCTATGCAGTAGGGTTCATTATTACCTAGAGAGAGAACTGTCACAACTAGGAGGTGGTATTGATTTTCTATTTTACTTTCACTCCACAACTTTAATTCGCTGCTCTATAGCAATGCTTTTGGATGACTGCGTTGCCGGTGATGAGCTCACCTTCCGTCTGAATCTGCCGATCAATTTTGTTCGCCTCAGACAATGCGGGATTTCCATCACTAATGAGCCATTCTTACGACGTATCCTAGTCTCTGTTTATCGATACAATATCAGTAATCATCTAAGTAAGGTAAAAAGTGTAACTCTTGATTTGATGGACTAGAACTTGATAAGTTTGGCATACATTTTGAGGCTAAAATTTTTCTCCCACACTCGGTTGGCCGCTCCATGTATGGCATTTTCGATGAGACTGGTTTATTACAGTACGGACAGGTGTTTATTCAATATTCCGAATCTCTCAAGAAATTTGATGGGAGACTGAAAATTTATACTGGTACGACAAAAATTGCACTGATCTTGAGATATTTATGCAAAGGGAAAGTGTTATAGTTTAGGTCCAGTAATGATCACAAAAAACCCCTGTCATGTTGCTGGAGATGTCAGAATGTTCACAGCCGTTTATCAACCAGCTCTAGCACATCTGTTCGATGTGGTTGTTTTTCCAAGACATGGACCTCGTCCTCATCCCGATGAAATGGCCGGTATGTTATGCTTCATTTGAGATACACCTCTGGAATGATTACCATCTTTCAAACGATTTACTCGATTAAGGAAGTGATCTAGATGGTGATGAGTATTCGGTGATCTTCGATCCGGACATTTACTTCGATCACAACGAAGAAGCAATGACGTTTCCGAAGAGTTTCCCTGATGATTTTGACACGGCTCCGACGGAATGGCTTTACACTGCCTGATTTTTTTTCTGCATTTAAGCACTACTTATGATTTAGACCGATGATATGGTGGATTTTTTCCTCAAGTATCTACGACAAGATTCCATCGGCAGGATGAGCAATGCTCATCTTATTTTAGCTGATCGAAAAGGATTATTTGAGTAAGCTCTGTTGCCAACTATTGAAAACGATATCTGTAATTTTTTTTACAAACAAAATCGCACTAGTGGGGGACCTACACAGCAGCGGCAGCTGCCGCACACAATTGCACCTTCTACACATTGATCCAGATGCAAAAAAGTAGGAATTTTGCAGAATTCTGGATTATATAAGATTTCGAGGGCCACTACACAATTCATCGATATGAGAAGGAGTGTTGATCTTTTGATATTGAAACTACAAAAGCGAGTACAGTTTATTCAGCAGTGCAGTCTTTGAGAAGTCGACAGAAACTATGAATGGATGATTATCGAATCGGTGATTGATGACCGAAATTTAGAGCGTTGTTGCTTTGCTGATGTAGCATGATAATATGATTATTTTCGGTTATCCGGGGACAAATGAAGAAATGACATTCTTCACTGGACAAGAACTTTTTATAAGAGTGTTAGTAAACATTCCAAAACCTGAATCTCCGATTACTGCGCCAAGTGTCACTTTTTGAAAAGACCTTTTTTCAGCGCTGTAGCAAAATATAACTATGATTCACACCTGCCGCGCGCTTTTACCATTTCTTCGCTGGAAACACGAAAAGCATATGAATGTGTGAAGGACATCTTATAGTATCAAAGGCATACGTTTTATTTGGAGATATTTCCCCAGTGATGAAAAAATCTTGGATAAATAACAAGAATTGCACTATAAATGTGAGTATCGTCAACTCTGTCGATCGATCGATCGCGGAACGCCGTAATAAATCTACGGTCAACAGACACCCAGTCCACACACTGGCCAACAAGCAAATGCGCCACGCATGTGAAACTCGAGATTTTTTTTCTGCTACTATGCAATGGAATAGTCTTTCCAGAAAATAAGCAAGGCGTTGGAATTGTCGAAACTTAACTGTCGGATGGCTACTTATGATCTGAAAAAAAGAGTTCTGTCCTGTGCTGTTCTGTAAAACACAAATGCTTCCTTTCTGTTACAGCGTTTGAAAAAGGCTTTTCCAAAGAATGCCCAAGTAGCACAGTAGTCAAAGACCACTGAAAGTGTAATGGACAGTCCTTGTTCACAAAAGGGGGTCGTTTCTTCAAATGTCCTCGAATAAGCGAAGAGAACCTATATTATTTACCATTAGCTTGTGGATTGAATAGAGACATGAAGCATTTCATTTTGAATAATCCTTTGTATTCACTGGAATCAACTTCGAATGCTCTAGATGTTTAACGTTTATGTATTAGTCGGCGAGCAAATATAATATTCAAGAAAGAAAAAGGAGAAAACGATCGACTTAAACTTTCAAAAACATCGGAAGGGAGAAGAAGCACCCACCCTCATCTCTTGTACGATTACACACTTTTTCTCATGCTTGGAGTGCGTGCCAAAAGCATAACAGTTATTTAAACACGAAGACAGCACAGTGAGGGATTTCAAAACTGTTGAATAGAAAATAATTCTAAGTCTATCTCAAGGCTTTCCATTTTATACAATGGATTGGCACAACAGTTGATGAGTATAAAGTAATCAGTTCAATGTGTGTCAAGAGTGCTACAGCATCACCGGTAGGGCCTATGACTAGATAGATATCTGAGCCAGAAAACGTTGATAGATAGTACCGGCACACGATAACTTTGAACCTTTTGACTTGAAATCGCATGTAATTTTCCGTGATCATCGGGAGGTAAGTAATCTGAAATGACAGTATAGCATTGATCACATAAGCCCTATTTCTCATACTTCTTTCTCCCACTTCTCTGTTTATCCTACATTTTTTCCATATTACTTCTTTAGCAAGGATGTCGTGGAAAGCAATTACATCTTTTGGGAGAAACCTCATTGTCCTTTCAAAATTTTCTTTGTTAGTTGATCTTAGTAATCACTTTCTCATTGTGAGAATTTGAGCGACGTCTGTAACGAAATCGCTCGTAAATGCGCCATTGCGGTGGATTTTCCGAAAAGTGGTGAGCCAGCTGAACCTTTGACTGGTCATGAGCAAAGTGATGTTGTACCGGATTATATGCCTTCTGTTATCAAGCCAATGTATCGAAGTCGTCGACTCAATGGACAATTATACAGGTGAGGAAGTGAGTGTCTCCACTTTTTCCTATTCAATAACCATCGTTTCAGAAAAACGAAGAAAGTTGAAGAAGTTTTGGATATGTCTGAGCTTTCGACAAGTGTTTTTGAGCATGATATTGATGAGGTGACCCTATTCATTCCAATCCTTCATTAGGACTTTTGACTGAACACCTTTAGATATTATGCCCACCTGGTTTCGATCCATTGAAGGTGACGATTTGCGGTGTGCAAATGTGCGCCGCATACGAGACGAATATGCTGCTGGAATTCAGGTGATTTTATGTGGTTGGAACAATGAATCAAGACACTTTGGACCATGTGGAAGCTATAGTGCTCGTTCAAGAGTGAACAGCCCTTTGAATTCGCCCTTCAAAAGCTGCCTTTTTTCTGCCCTCTAATTCTTCCCTCGATTCTTTTCTGGGAGCTGAGCAATGGAACAATTGCTATTTCAACAGCCTTGTCGATTCCACATTTTTTGGTCTCACGAGAAGTGTAGACTGCCTTTGATGCGTCGTGCATCAGTGATACGTTTTTGCATGGCAATCAGAAATGTGTTGACTCATACCACCCTGAAACGAAATTGAAATTTTCATTGGTTGGAGACTTGGTAAAACTCGTTTGCCATGCAAAGCACCACGATCATCACATTATGAACAATATTGGCTTTTCTATGGGTGAAGCAAGTATGGATTTTAGAACTGTACACAGTCACAAAAAGCTTTGTTTTCATTGATCTCTACAAGTAGCGCACCACATCCAGTCAGTATTTTAGAATATCCTTTGCAGTCTGTGGTGAATTCAACTCTGTATTTTCAGTAACACTTATTGCATGTGATACCTATGACTCATCACAGCGGTCAGTTATAACGAAACGGTGCCCGAGTAGCGCAGTGATTAGTGATTCAGTGAAACAAAAAGTGAGGTGATATCGATGCGCTCCTTAGAACAATACCCTCAATGCTCTCTTACAATCAATCAGTAGAACGCCTAGAATTGTGCAAGAAGAATCGTCTTGAGCAATTTCTACAACGTTCATAAGAAATACGAATTCTTCAAGCGGAAGCTGGCCCACTACGCGAAATTTTTGAATACCTCTATGGAGAGTGAATGCGAGGCAACGGATCTGATCTATGAATTCACTGGATTCGCACAATGAATTATGACAATGTTTCATTTAGAAATAGACATAAAAATGCAATAACGGTTGAATATGCTCATAAACTGGATTTCATATTGCTTATGCAGTGAATGTTGTTGATTTTTTGTAAATCCCAAAAATTTGTCAATAACTAGTTAAAACTAATAAAACTACAAAAGTTTAGAGATTGAAATTCTGGAAAAAATTTCCAACATAACGCCTATTTGCTGTTATCAGCATAAACTTAAACTCATCGGTATGCCATCGCAAGCCACAGTATGAGCCACATATTTCGTATTCAATCACTTCTAAAATTTCTCGGATGCCGAATACGCGGCGCATTCCGTGCTGATTTTGCAACACCGAGCGCTTTAACGTTGATACTACTTTTATCAACCCGAATTGTGACATATGTTGATTTTTCTGCAT